TCTCCCCAGATGAGTGTCTTTTCCTAAGAATTTTTAAATATTATAACAAGATGGGAAATAAAGGGTGACTGTGCCACTTTCTCCTTTGTATCCCAAGCACCTAGCACAGTGCCTGGACACATAAGGTATTTAATAAATACTTGTTGATTTACTGATCTAGCCCACTCTCCTATCTGACACAGGGCTCGATTCCTCAGCATCCCAGAAAAGTGCACCTATGCTAGGTTTCTTTTATTCTCACTTTAGTATCCTATGATAAAAATGGGTTCCCTTCAAAAGTTTTAACTAGGGTGAAGTGGTAGGGCACTTTCCCCCGGAAGCCAAAATTTAGATGGGGCCATTTCCTTCCCCAATATTCTGGCAGTGCTCTGAATCACTGGACCTATATCACAGCCTGCCACACAATTCTTGCCATATCCCAGCTCAAAGGAAAACAGTCTAAAAGAGGAAGCATAGTAGAATAGAAAGGGCAAAATAGTTGGAACCAGAGGACCTAGTTTCAAATCTCAGCTTTGATACTTCTTACTTACTGTATGGCTTTGACCAAGTCACAACCTCCCTTCCTGGGCCCCAGTTTTCTTATCTGTAAAATGTGGGTGTTGCCACTCACAGTTTTACATACAATTCTCTCCTCTGTTCCACAAAGTATGTGAAAATGTGGTTTTGGTCTACCTGCCAAATCAAACCCAGGGATTATATGAACACAATTACAAAACACTTCTCACACAAATAAAGTCAGATCTAAACAATCAGAAAAATGTTAATTGCTCATGGGTAGGCCAGACCATTATGATAAAAATGACAATTCTACCTCAATTAATCTACGTATTCAGTGCCATACCAATCAAATTACCAAAATATTACTTGACAGAGATAGAAAAAACAATAACAAAATTCATCTACAGGAACAAAAGTTCAAGAATATCATGGAATATCATTGAAAAGAATGTGAAGGAAGATAGCCTAGCCATACCAGATTTCAAGGGGTAATCATCAAAATAATCTGGTACTAGATAAGAAATAGGGTGGTAGATCAGTGGAATAGATAAGGTGTATAATACATTATAGTAAATGACCAAAATAATTTAGTGTTTGATAAACCTAAAGATCCAGAAAAAAAAACTCACTATTTGACAAAAAACTGCTGGAAAAACTGGAAAACAATATGGCAGAAACTAGATATAGTCCAACATCTTATACCATATACCAAGAAAAGTCAAATGACTACGTGATACAGACATAAAGGGCAATACCATAAGCAAATTAGGAGAGAATGGAATAGTTTACCTGCCTGATACATGGAGAAGGGAAGGATTTAGGACCAAACATGAGAGCAGTACGAAATGTAAAATGGACAATATTGATTATATAAAATTTAAAAGCTTTTGCACAAACAAAACCAATGCAACTAAAATTAGAAGGAAAGCAGAAAACTGGGGGGAAATGTTTACAGCAAGTATCTCTGATAAAGGCTTCATTTCTCAAATGTACAGAGAATTGAGTCAAATTTATAAGAATAAAAATCATTTCCAAATTGATAAATAGACAAAGGACATGGGCGGACAATTTTGAAACAAAGAAATCCAAGCTAATTATAGTTTGAACAAAAGGCTCTAAATCACTTTTGATTCAAGAAATGCAAATTAAAATAACTCTGACACACCATGTCACACCTATCAGATTGGCTAATATGACAGAAAAAGGAAATGATAGATGTTGGAACGAATGTAAGAAAACCGGAACGCAAATGTACTGTTGGTGGAATTGTGAACCGAACCAATCATTCTTGAGAACAGTTTGGAACTATGCCCAAAGCGCTATCAACCTGTGCATATCTTTTGATCCAGAAACACCACAACTATATCCATATGCCAAAGAGACCCCTCAAAAAGGGGAAAGAAGCTATTTAGACAAAAATATTTATAGTAGCTCTTTTTGTGGTGGCAAAGAACTAGAAATCAAGAGGATTCCCATCCATTGGGGAAGGGCTGAACAAGTTGCGTGTATAATTATTATGGAATGTTATTGTTTCATAAGAAATAACTAGCAGGATGATTTCAGAAAAAAACCTGGAAAAACTTACACGAATGATTACATAATGAAAGAAGCAGAACCAGGAAAACATTATACCCACTAAGAGCAACACTGTACAATGAACAACTGTGAATGACCTAGCTCTTCTTAGCAATACAATGATCTAAGACAATCAAAATCAAACGAACCAAAGGATTCACGATAAAAAAACAAATGCCATCCACATGCAGAGGAAACGACTGACAGCGTCTGACTACAGACCAAGGCATACTCTTTTCTCATTTTCTTTTTTAGTTCTTTCTTTCTCTTTTTTGAGTTTTTTTCCCCACAAAATGACTAAAATGGAAATGTTTTACATGATTTACACATGTAGAACTTATATCAGATTGCTCACCATCCCAGGGAAAAGGGAAGGGAGGGAGAGTGGGTTAGAATCTGGAACTCAAAACTTAACAATGAATGTTGAAAAAAATGTTTTTATATGTAATTGCAGAAATGTTTAATGTACTTTTTATGTTGCCAACTTTGGAATTTTTAAAAATAATTTTTAAAAGAAAAAAACAAAATGAGGGATTAGATGAAGTAAACTCTGAGGTATTTTCCAGATCTAGGTTTATGATCCTAGGATCTCATGACAGTAGGCAGAAATATCGAAGGGCAAGCGGCCATGTGGCATAGTGGATAGGGCATCAGGCCTGGAATAAGGAAGACTCCTCTTACTGAGTTCAAATCTAGCCTCCAACACTTACTAGCTATGGGATCCTGGGCAAGTCACTTCACTCTGTTTCCCTCAGTTTCATCATCTATAAAATAAGCTGGAGAAGGAAATGGCAAACTACCCCAATATTTTGGCCAAGAAAACCCCAAATGGGGTCACAAAGAGTTGGACATGACTGAAAAAATGACTGAAAAACAACAAAGAAGAAATACTGTAAGAGGAAACTCATGTGGCACAATTTGACAAATGATTGTACGGCAGAGGGGAGAAAGGAGATGGAAGAATCAAGCATGACTAAGATTCTGACTCAGAACGGCAACATGTGGCAATGAAAATCACACTGGCATTGAAATCAGAGGAGCCACGTTGAAATCCCAGCTCTCTGACTTCTGACCTGCATGTCACTCTCCTCTGGGTCTCAGTTCCCTCATCAGTAGAATGAGGGCGATGGACGAGGTGGCTAGGAAGGTCCCCTTTTCCTTAAAATTTCTGTCCCTGTGACCGTGGCCAAGTTTCTTTGACTTTGCGTACTTAAATCCCCTCTTCTATAAAATGAAAGGGCTAGATGTGATGGCCTCTGAGGCCAACAAGGAAGTCCAAAGTGGTGTCTATGATTGTACAATCTAGGAACTAGAAGAACACAGCTGTTAACAGCAGCAATAGGACCCTGTGACCAGCAAGGAAGTCCAAAGTTGTGTCCACAATTCTACAATCTAGAAACTAGAAGAGTGCCACTGTTAACAGCAGCAATAGGAAAGTTAGGGAGAAGAACAAGACTATTAGGAAAAGTGATGTCTGTTTGAGAAATGTCAAATCCGAGGTGCCAGTGGGACACACAGATGGAAGTGTCTATAGAAATGTGTCTTCCAGAGGTCAGGGCAGAGTTAAAATCTGGAGAATGAGCTTAGAGAATTGTGAACATAGAGGAAATCACTTAAGACATGGATAGACATGTCTATCACTACCAAGAGAGAAAGCATGGAGGGAGAAGTCTATTGTAGCTGGAGTGAAGAGAGTAGAGGATAGACATTGGGGGGGAGAAATAGGAATGGGGGCAAATTCCACAATGAGAGAGCTAAATAGGTTCACAATGTTTAAGAGAAAAAAAGGTAGACATTAATGAGGAAATGGCAGTGCCAGGATCATAGAGACTGTTGATCCAGAGTCGGAAGACATATCTTATGTCTGTTGGTTGAACCCTTTCATCTTATAAGTGAGGAAACTGAAGTCCAAGGTAGTTAAGTGACTTGTCCAGGGACACCCAGCTAATAACCACTCAGATCTTTCGCCCATAGAGACAGCCAGTGCTGTCTCCATGTACTAGCCTGTCTTTCATTTCAACTGCTCCTTGTCCAAAGTATACCATGGCTATTAATACACACCTCTGTTTCATAATGGGTTGCTCATCCAGAATTTTTTTTGGAAAACCAAAGTGTTATTAATCTTTTCTTGTATCATCTATTCTTTTGGCAGTCTGGCAAAATCTAAGGACCTTTTGTTAGAATCTTGGTTTTAAATATGAAAAATAAAATACATAAGATGACAAAGGAAATAAATTATTTTAAAATGCAATTTTTGTAATATTTTTTGAAACAGGCTGACAGTTTTCCAGTTAAGAACTCCTGTTTTACAGCATCTGTGATCAATAATTAAGGTAATTTTTCAAATGACTCAGATCTTTATGAAGTTATCAATCATCAAATATTTATAAATGTATGAAAGAATAAACGAATGAAAAAGCATTTATTATGTGGCAAGCACTGTGCGAATAGACAAAATAAAATTCAGCTACAGGGCAGATGGAAAGGTACCTACCTACAACGTGTGCTGCTTTCTGGGGATATAACTACTAGAGTGAGATGGCACTTGCCTTCAAGAAACTTACTTTTTCCTGGACAAAAGTTCCCTGTTTTAGACCAATTTTGTGTTTCTCCAAGAAAATTATATAACATTATGCCAAGCACCACACTTTAATCTGACTCTCAAAGGCATGACTCAACATTGTGAAAATGGCAAACTCTAAAGAGCCTCCTCTAAAATTCATTCTCCGCCCCCAAACTTTCCATAACAATCACAAGCACCAAGTTGGACAAGTGCCCCATCTTACTGACCCAATAGAAATGGCCTATGAAAATGGATTATAGAGATCATTCACGAGCAAAATTTTCTAGAACATACACAGGACACCAAATTTCTGTTTTCCCCTCATCCTTGACATGACTTCTTTAAAACCAAACAAAAGAAGTACCTGCATCAGCATGGGGAACCCAAGGTTGCGGCACCCGTTACAGGGAGTTAATGCCTCCCACAGCCCTGAAGGACCACAAGTGTTTGCATCATCATCATCTTCTTCCAACTCCCCTGGAGACAGATTTATTGTGGATGAAGGCCTCTGCAATTAAATTCACATTATGTCAATTTTTGACAATATAGCAATGCTATGTTGATATCTTAATATCAATTAAATTGCTTCAATTAACTTACTTCTCTATTAGTAAATGAAATCCATCTTAGCCATGCTTATAGTAATGACTCACATTTGTAATGCACTGGAGACTTTCCTTAGGGCCTTTGGAATATTTTGTGGGGGCTGCTTCAGCACCCAAGTTGGTCATATGTCATCATCCCTCACACTCATTACCTGATCATCCTGCCTTTATTCCCCTAATCATACAAGTAGTAAATCACAGGGTACACTGAAGACTTTAAAGGTCACTTAGTCTAAATCCCCCATTGTTTGGATGAATAAACTGAGGCCTAATGGGGTTATCAGACCTAGTGTAACAGGATCACAGATTCAGAGCTAGAAGGGACTTTTAGAGGTCTAACCTCCTCATTTTACAAACAAAAAAAACCCTTGAAACCAGAGAAAGAGAGCAACTTGTCTGAAGTCACAGAAAATTTCAGAGTTGACATTTGAAGCCAGGTCCTCTGACTTATAATAATAATAATAATAATAATAATATAATAATATAATAATAATAATAATAATAACAACAATAATAATAATAATGACTAGCATTATTTAATGCTTTAAAGATTATAAAGCACTTTACATATAGTGTCCCATTTAATCCTTAAAACAACCATTCAAGGTAGGTGCCATCATTAGGCCAATTTTACACAGGAAATTAAGGTCAATAAAACCTAAGTGATTTGGCTTTTGTTGTTGTTAAGTCATTTTCAGCTGTGTCTGACTCTTCATAACCGCATTTGGGGTTTTCTTGGCAAAGATACTGGAGTGGTTTGCTATTTCCTCCTCCAGCTCATTTTACAGATGAGGAAACTGAGGCAGACAGGGTTAAGTGACTTGCCCAGGGTCACACAGCTAGTAAGTATCTGAGGCCAGGTTTGAACTCGGAAAGATGAGTCTTCCTGAATCCAGGTCCAGCACTCTACCCACTGGGTCACCTAGCTGCCAAAGTGACTTGTCTAGGTTCACACAGCTAGTAAGAGTCTGAAGCGTTATTTGAACCCAGATCCTTTGACTCCAAAACCGGAGATCTTCCCACCTAGCCATGCTGTCTGCTCCTTGAGTGTGTCATTTATGAACACTTTCCTTACACTGTTCTATGTACAATTTGAGTTTAGAGTAAACATGATTATCTCCATTTTTAGATGAGAAAAGAGGAAAATTTTAATAAATTTTTCAACTGCCTCAGATTTTTTATCATCTATTATCAAATATTTGTGAGAAAAGAGGTAAAGGGTCATAGACATGGTCACATGATTAATAATAACTAGAGCCCAGTCTCCTTATTCCTATTCCAGTGTTCTCACCACTACATCGCACTGTCTCCATGCATTAAAGAATGAAATGAGATTGAGTGGGAAAGAGAGCAAGCATAAAAACAAATTACAATCAGACATAATGATCTAGGAAACAGTGGTGTAAACCCATGAAGACAGGAAGATGATGATTACTCTTGTTGTTGTCATTATTATTATGCTTCTGTTGCAGCCCACAGAGCTCCCGGGCTAAAGAGTCTTAGACATCTCAGCGGCACAGGCCAGTAGGAGCCAATAGAAAGCCAAGAGCCAATACCCCAAGGAAAGGCCAGGCAGAAAGAAAGGGCCCATTGGTATCAAAGTACTCAAAGAAGCCCTTCTTTGGCAGCAAAGAACTGAAAAGAAAGTGGGTGCCCATCCAATGGAATAAATGAATACGTTATGGTACAGAAACATGAAGGAATATTCTTGGGCTGTAAGAAGCAATGAAGACACCCATCAAATTAACCACCAAAATAAATAAAAGAAATGAAACCCAATAATGGAAGAATTGTGGAAAAATTTGCAGGGCCATTTATTGCCACTGGAATTGTCAACTTGAGCTCAGTTTAGAAAGAAACAAGGGCTTGTGAGAGGTGAAAGTAAGAAGGGAGAGCATTAGCATTCCAGCAATGAGGAACAGTAAAGGTACAGAAATGGGAAATAGGATGCCATATATGAGGTACAAGAAGGCCAGTTTGGCTCAACTGTTGCTTGACACTTCCAGTCTTGTCCAACTCTCCATGACATCCCCCGCCCCTTTAGGGGTTTTCCTGGCAAAGATACTGGAGCGGTTTGCCATTTCCTTCTCCAGCTCATTTTACAGGTGAGGAAACTAAGGCAAATAGGGTTAAGTGACTTGCCCAGGGCCATACAGTTAGTAAGTATCTGAGGCCAGATTTGAACTCAGGAAGATGAGTCTTCCAGACTCCAGGCTTGGCACTCTATCCACTATGGTGCCACCTAGCGGCATTGGAAAGTATGCACCAAAACTACAGGGGACGAGAAGGGTTGGAAGGGTTTTTATTTCCATCACTGGAGGGATTATCTGCACTGAGAAAATAAAACTCATTTAAAGAATCAAGTCTGTTAGGACAGTCATTTGTGCACCTGCCTTATCTCCCTGTTGGATGGCAAGCTCCTACAAGGCAGGGAACCTATCTTCATTATCTCCATTACAGCCCTTATGGGGCCTGGAATATAGAAAATGCTCAATTTGTATTCATGGAATTCATTAATGGATGGAAAGGCAGCTCCTGGTCTAAGGCAGCTCTGGCGTCTAGGAAAGAGGAGGGACTCCCTAGAGAAGGCCGCTGATATGCCAGAGTGTCAGTCATTTCCATCTCAACTTCAGAATTATCATTTTAATTCCATCATCATCCTACTAATGAGATTTAGCCAAAAGGAATAAGCCCTGAAGACATTCTAAAAATGGACCACATTTGACTCCTCAAGAAAGATTACTTCAACAGCTATTAACAAACTAGAGATAACCAATTGGGCATCTTGGAATAGATAACAAGGAGAAAAGTTCAGCTCAAATAAATCTTAATTTAGATGTTCCCCCTGTTTATTCCCAGTCCCTTTAAGAACAGTAATTAGGGAAGAGATACTCAATCTTCACTGTGTCATAGATTCCTTTATCAGTCTGATGAAGCCTGCAGATGCTTTTCAGAATATTGTTTTTGAATGAATAAAAGAAATTCCAAAGGAAACTATAACGAAACACAGTTTGTAGAGAAGAAGGTTGGGATCATGTGGTATATAGCAAAAGACCTAATAACTACAGTAATATTTAAGTAGAGATGAGCATATGTGATATTTCAAGATATCTGCAACAATTATGAGGTGATGTAAAAATATCTGTGATTTCTATTGGTGACAGTCACAAGTACTGCTAATACTACTGTGGTTTGTTCTCTGCACTCATAATTGGACAAAATGCTAGATTTCCATCAGAGGTCAGTGAAAATGCAATGTAAATGTTTACTATCCAAGTTCACCAAACTTGAGGTCTGTGGATCCCAGATAAAGAATGCCTAGCTTTGGGTCTCAAGTTTTAAGAAAGTTTTTAGGAGTCTAAATCTAGAGCCGGACGGGACCTTAGGTAAAGTGATTTGTACTGTCACCTGGAGAGTTAGTGCCTGAAGCAAGATTTTAACCCAGAACTTTACTCCAAGTCTAGAATCTCTTGCTCTTGCGTTCGAGGTGCTGAGGGAATCTTCAGAGATATTAAGCTGGCCACATAGCACATCAGAAAACTATTAGAGTCAGCATGCATTTCAATCTCACTTCCTACCTATGTAACCTCAGCAAGAACCTCTGTCTGCCCCCATTTCCTTATCTGTAAAATAGGATAACAACACCTACCTTGAAGGGTTGTTGTGAAGATCAAGTGAGTTAATATTTGAAAAACATGCACATTGCCTGACACATAATAGGTACTTAATAAATTCTTGTTCCTTCCTCTCCCCTCCTTTCAATTTCCCAATCTGACTGGTGTTTCTCTGCCCCCAACTTCATGCTAAGCCAGGTGAGCAGACTCTACTCTCTGCTTCTAGAATTCCTGACATGCTATGATCTTAAAGCTGTCATGATCCCAGACAGGAGTAAGCATCTCCACCCCTCCAGCAGGCCTGCACTTCCTGGAAGTATGGACCCAGGAGCTCATCATGGACTCCCATATGCTTGCCATGGGCTGCATTCCATTATGCCCAAGCCTCCCTGATTGAGATTCCTGCCCATATCTTTTCATCTGGTATTAAAAGATATTCCTGGCTTGATTCCTTTCTATGTTTCAAGTCCTCTTAAATGTTTCCCCCCTTCTACAATCTACAGGTCTGCAATCCTTGAGACATTCTGCTGTCCTTCACACATGGTGACACTTCCTCTCCCACTTGTTGCCTTTCCACAGGCCATCTTCCAGACCTGGTATACCACTCCTCACCTCCATATCCAGATATCCACAGCCTCCTTCGAGACTCAACTCAAATTCCACTTTTTCAACAAGTCTTTCCTTCATCCTCAAGGAAGAGACCATGCTTTTGCTTTTGCATCTTCACTGCTTAGCACAATGTCTGACATATAGTAAGTACTCCTGAAAAATTCATGACAATCCTGGTGCTCTTCAGAGGTGTTAGTCATGGCCTCCATGGGAGAACCTATGATTGAAGATGTCAACCCTAACTCTCATGTGAGAAGGAAGAAAATGAGCTGCCCTACCTAGGAGGCATTAACTTTGGGTCTAGGAAGATAGGCTCAATGGGCTAGCTACTCTAGTGTTTTTCTCTTCTTGGACAAGTCTCAGCTAAAATTCCACCTTCTACAAGAAGTTTTACCAACCGTCTCTCGAAGCTAATGCCTTCTTATCCCCCCATACTATGTACCTCATTTGTATATAGTTATCTGTCTGTTTTCTTTCCCACTAGACTGTAAGCTCTGAGGACAGAGCCTGATTTGTTTCCTTTCTTTGAATCTCCATCATAGTGCCTAGCACAGAAGAGGTACACAGTAAATCCATATTGACTTGATTTGCCCCTGACTCCTGGAACTTTTGGCATCTCCAGTTAAGCTATATGCCTTTTACATGTTAAGCTTCTCAAACTGATCAACCAAAGAGCAGGT